GCGCTTTGCCGGCTCCTGGCGCGGCGCCCTGTGCCCGCTCCCTCTGTCGGTTCCTCCCTCCCAGCTCCCCTTCCTCTGTTCTTCCTCCGTCCTTCCCTCTCTCCATCCTTCCGTCCCTTCCTTTCTCCCTCCCTCTCTCCGCCCCTCCCGGGGCCTGTGCGGGTGCAGCCCGGAGGGTCCTCAGCTCTCCCGTGGGCACAGGAGGGAAACGCCGATCAGATGGAAATACCATCCCGTCCTCAGTGTTGGTACAGCAGCAGGAAGCCTTAAAGCTGGCACCGAGTGCTCAGGCCATGTAGTTGGTTGCCCAGGGAGGTGGAGGAATCTTCATCCCTGGCGGTGCTTAAGAGGCACCTGGATCTGGCGCTGGAAGATTTAGTGGTTTAGAGGTTACAGTGGTAGTGCGTGATTAATGGATGGAGAACTTAAAGGTTTCTTCCAGCCCTGATGAGTCTATGAATCTGCTGAGGAGTCCTGACTGAAGGTCAGCTGAGGACACACATCCTGCTTGTAGGTTGGCTTCAGAGATGTTGTTAAGGCTTCTTGCTAGTTACTTCAACTGTGTATATCACATTGATATGGGGAAAACAGACTTTGTTGCCAGCTCCTTGCCAATGTCCTCATCCTAATCAATTTGCTATGTTTGCATCCTCTTTTAGTATGAAGACCTTGCTTGCTTTAAAGATAGAAAACCTGGTGCTCCCCACCACTACCTGGTGGTGCCCGTGGAGCACATAGGAAACTGCAAAACCCTGAAGACAGAACACATACCTTTAGGTAAGGCTGTGTGTGTTGAACCTAGAGGAAAATGACTTTGCAGAGCCTTAAATGGTGTGTTGTCAAGTAAATCACCTGTGAACACCACGTGTAAATGCAGAAATAGTTTGTGTGAGTTTAGGGAAGGGACTTATACCTCCTGGGAGCTTCCATGTGCTGTTCTAGAATGGCACTTTTTTTTTTTTTTCAATTCTGGAAAAATACTGGTCTAGTGCATAAAATCTCTTCTGTTTGCATGGAGTACAGATGCCTCTGCACTTTGTTGGGACTGCAGCTTTATTTTTAAAGCATTTATGTGCTGCTTCATTGCATTTTCTTAGATACATACATGGAATTTTAAATAATATGAAAAGCTTATAGAAGGATTTCATAAGATGTATGCTTTCAAATAAGTGCTGTGTTATTTTTCAGAGAAGAAGGGAGTGAAAGATGGAAAAGGGGAGTGGTGTTCCAATAAACTTAAAATATTTTTGATTTATTGTTGATAGGCTTTTTGTTTAATAAGAAAACTTTGTTCTGGAATTTGTTTCACAAGATATGCCTGTCTGAGTGTGTTGAGTAACAGAAGAAGCTGCAGCCACACATACCTTAGGGAAATTTACAGATAATGCAAGGAAAGAGTTATAGTTGCATGTTGCCAACCTTGCATCACTGTATTTCTCTTCTAAGCACAGAGTGGTTTTCTGCAGAAAAAAATGTCTCTATGTCTTTGGGTTCAAGGCAATTCCTTCGACTTTTGCCTTGTGTTTTTGTATTGGGGTTGCTGCTTTTATCAGTGATACAGGAATGAAACTTTGTCCTAGTAATAAGTTTTATTTTAATTTAAATTTGCATAGCATCTCTGAAACTTAGACCAGGCTGCACAGGACCTGGAGTTCAAAGTCCTGTAGCTGTGTAGAGATGGAACACTGGAGTTAGTGTACACATCATCATTCTGACCAATCAGTATTTGGGTTTTTTTTCATAAGGGTGTGGTGATAGCATTGAAACTTTGGCCAAAGTTCTTAGAACAAAACCACATTGAAAAGCATAACTAATGTGGGAGTTGGCAACAGTGGCAAATTTCAAGTCAACCACTGCACACACTGTCTTGATTGTCACTGTTTGATTAGGAACAGTTGCTGTGTTTATATTTTGAAAACCCCTGTTTGATCTCAATGTAATCAGTGTGTTTAGGTTAATGCTCTGAAGAATGCCTTTTTAAAATGAAATTTGTGTTCAACAGTGAAGAGAATGATGGAAGTTGGAAAAGCTGTTCTCCAGAAAAATAATTTTAGTGATCTGAATGACGTAAGGTATGTGATGGAAACCTTCTGTCTATTGAGTGTAAGCTGATTTTTTACTTTCCAGAATGTTATTTTAGAGATGGTAACAAAAACTGCAGTATGATTTATTGAAGAGATCAGATGTGTATTCACTTATTGCATGACTTCTCCAACAGAATGTGCTGGCATTGAGTACAAACTCCTTTTCTGGTGAGTTTCCAGCACAGATTGTGTTCCAGCTCTGAGGTTGTTTCTTAACCACATCTTGGGATAGGGAGGGCACTTCCAAGAACTTACCTAAAAGACTGCTTTCTGTGCTGAAAGTGTGCTCTAAATCCTAGATTCCAGAGGGGAGGTAAGCTTTGCCCTGTTCAAGCAGGACACTACACTGTGCTTCAGACATACCTGCAGTCATTTGATTTCAGTCCTGCACCCTTTAGCTTAAGGCAGTGCCTTTGATAGCTCAAGTAATCTAACATAATTTAAACAGTGTAGAGAAACAGGGAGGTGAGCCCTCATGATTAAAATAGATAGTTGGCTTTCCAGATGAAAACTAGATAGGATATATTTAAGCTGCTTTTCTTTTTTAAACACTCCTTTAGAAAAAAAACAGTGTCTTAAATACAGAGATGTGAAGGAGGAGGTTAATGAGCTTTTGAAAAGCTTCTCCGTGATATAATGAAAGGGCATTTTGTTCCTGCTTTTATGTACAAGGAAAACATGATGAGTTGTTACTTCCACTGATGATGTTAAATATTTTGCAATGTTCCACTTCTTCCTGAATCACCAGTATCTTTTGCTTCTTTTTCTTTTGTAAAGAATGGGTTTCCACTGGCCTCCGTTCTGCTCAATAGCCCACCTGCATCTTCACGTCCTGGCCCCAGCCAGTCAGCTAGGATTCTTTGCCAAGCTCTATTACAAAATCAACTCCTACTGGTTTATCACGGTAAATCTAACACAGATGAGTTTTTTTGGTTGGTTGTCAATTGCAAGCTGAAAATGTGATGTCTTTCTAACCTTTGAACGGTGTCCAGGAATTCTTTAGTGATTTTGTTGTTACTGTAATTCTTAATTATGTATATTTTGCATTAACAGTTTGAGAAAATGTAATGGTATAAACCTTAATGTTTATGCTTAGTGCTAATAACTGACAGCAAACAGTATAGTAGTTCTGCATCTAACATATAGCTCGTTCTGCGATGTGCTTCTGTGGACACTCTGAGTATTTGGTTCTTACTTTAAAAGGATATATTCAAATGTGATGGACAGTTTTGTACATACCGTGGGTTGTCCAGTGTAGGTGAAAAACACATCCACCTAATGATGGCATTTATCATAGAATCATTACGGTTGGAAAAGACCTCCAAGACGGTCAAGTCCAGCCATTAACCCAGCACTGCTGTGCTCACCACTAAATCATGTCCCTGGGTGCCATATCTGTATGTCTTTTGAACACTTCCAGGGGTGGTGACGCTGCCACCACTTCCCCAAGAAGCCTGTGCCAATGCCTGACAAACCTTTCAGTGAAGAAATTTTCCCTAATAGCCAATCTAAACCTCCCCTGGCACAGATTGAAGCTGTTTCCTCCTGTCAGTTCACGTCATTTTTGTCGTCTTGTCATCTGTAGACTAAAAGAAGTGTCTACCAAAAACATTGCTTGTACTGATTTAAGTTAGTTTTTGCTGATTTATGTCAGTAATGATAAGCAATGAGACTGAACTGGGACTGACTAAAGGACTTTGAAAATCTTCCTCTCTCTCGATTTAAAGCTCACTCACTGCTTTGATACAGCAAAGCACCTATCCTTGCAATGTAGCTGCAGCATCCTGGTATCACTGCACAGCCCCAAATCCAAGTTTCTGAAAAAGGTCTGTCTCATCTAAAGAATGTAGACAGCCTCTTCCTTAAAGAGAAGAAACTTGGCTTCTTCACAGTAGTCATTGAAGATCTCGCCCAGCTCAAAAAAAACAGATGTCTCTGCTCTGTGGTTGAGCATCTTGCAGATATTTGGCTCTCAAATAAGTATAGCTATGTAATTTTGCTGTTTATTATCTTGGACTATCTCAGGAAGATCTGTACCAAGTGTGATTATCCAGTATGGATGCGCTTTAAAAGATATTTTGACTTGTTGCTGATTTGGAAAATGTTCTTGGGTTCGTATTGGTTTTGGTTTGGCTTGGAATGCTTTTAATTATTATAATCTTGAATGTGGTACTTATTTAAGAATGCAAAACAGGATTCAGATAACTTCATTTTCAGTTGCTCTGTGCTTTATGTAGCTTTATTTGCAAATAAACTGCAGTAACTACTGAAATCCTGTTAAGGTGTTCCTACCCTAAATAGCTGATTGCATTTTTACTGTATTTAAAATATGCCAAAGTTAAGCTTTTCACCTTTAAAAGTGTAGTTCCTTTGCAGATCTTAATAAAACATCAAGCAATGCTCAAATCAAAACGTTAATTCGGTGGGACTGGCAAAACAAGAAAAGGCTGACAGTAAAGTGATTTTTTTCAGAAGTGCCATGTTAGCCTCTACATGCCCAGTCTGACCTGCTTGTTGGCAGACTTTCTTCTGCCCTGAGCCTAAGGGCCCTTTGCTGGTGCTGTTACATGTACAAAATACAACTGTGCTAAGTGCATAAATAGCTATAGGTTGAGAAAAGTATGTATGAGCACAGGGACATAGGTGACACGCTCCATCCCTTGGCAACACATGTGCCTGATGGTGTGCAGCTTGTTGGGTGATGAGAGATCACAACATGCTGTTCTGGAGTGTCTTGCAAAGAATCCCAGATCTCACCACTTGATTGTTCTTAGCACTGCTGTCTTAAAAATCAGAGTGCTTTAATAATCTGCTGTTTATTTGCTCAGACATCCTCTGACTTTTGTAGGTTATGTTTCCTCTTCTGATTGCCTCGAGGGTGTTTGATGGAAACTGAGTCTGTTGTTCAAAGCAATTGTTATTATTCTGCTTCTGTTGTATGCTGTGTCTGTAAAAGTGCAGAGTAAATGCTGTCAGTGCCACTGTTTTTAAGGTGGAATTTTCAGTAAGCTGAAGGCCCGCGGTGTGGTTAATGCATTGCTTTCTCTCTTTCGTAGGCCGAACAACTGATTGAGAGGCTGCAAACTGGAAATGCTGCCAGCTGAATGCACTCTTAGCCTTGGGTCCTTAGCCAGTTTGTCTTTGAGCTCTGATATAAGGTTGCACAGTTTGATGTTGCCAATAATATTCCAGGATAAAAAAACAGAATTTGTTGCTGCCAACCTAATTCTCAGTTGAGATACTTCATCTGGACAACAGGGTGATCTATGTGAATTATAATTTTATATTTGTGTATATACATACCTAATACACACACACAGAGGCAGGGAACTTTTCCTAGTAAAAGGCAGGGTACAGCAGCAGAATGTATTGCAGCTGAGGCAACAAGTTACAACTAACAGGCAACATGCATCTTTTGGTACCAAAAGGAGTATTTGTTGTGGAGCCAGGCTTTTATTTTCAAGATGCATTGTACTGGGATTGCAGGTAACACTTAAAACTTTTAAGTTTCCATCTGTGTCTGTTATTTATGTTATATTAGTTATGCCTAGTTATTAGGCAGGGACATTGCTGAAAGTGCAGTACTAACTTCCTGGTGCTAAAGCACTTCAATGTTACCTGCATCACAGTGACACAGTAAATGTTAGTACAATAGGTGCCCAAGGTGTGATAATGCTGTATAACATAGAGTACAGTTTATGTGTAAGTTTCCCCCTTATGTGCACAATGTTTGAAATTAGTCATTGTATGTTTACAAAAAATTTGAAGAGTTCAAAGGAATGGATTTAATATACTGCTCTTCTGCATGGCTGTGGATACAGAAATCCAGATTTTCTGATACTGTTCTCACTGGAAGTCCCTTGGAGATTACTAATGCCTTGGCTAAATTTGGATTCTGAATGAAGTCATAAGAGTAATGGGTCTTTAGTGCAGCAAGTATGTAGCAGGCTTACATAAGAGTAATGTGATTTGAATTTGGGATGCCAGGGACTCAGCCCAAAATT